GCCAGCACGGGAGTTAGCGAAGCAGTTGATGCAGGAGCAGGGAGAGTGTTAGCAAGCGTACAGGAGTGAACGAGTAAGAGAGCAAGGGAGAGGGTAATGTACTCCCTCCTCGCCTCTGCCCCGAGCATGACGTACTATGGAATGAAATACTTCCTTGGTCAGTTTGGGTCAGGTGTCTGAACTCTATGTCCCAGCACTGTCTGTAGTGAGACAGCGAGAGCTGGGAACGCAGCTGCTGTGTCAGAAGCAGAGAAAGACCTTGAATTCAGTGCAGGCATTCCCCAGCGCCAGCTAAGAACTGATCAGTGCTGCTCTCTGCATCCAGGAGCACAGCTTCTAGCAGCCACGGTATATAGAGTTAACTCTTTGCTGGTGAACCCAGCACAGGTGGGATCACTTATTCCATGTCTGACTTCTGCACAGGGAGGGAGCACTTTAACCTGTTCATACTGAAGAGTTTCTGAGCAGGAAAATATTTCCAGTTTAAATCGTTGTGGTATTAATCAGTTACATTCACTTTGTCTAGTACCAGACCATGGGACCCTTTGAATGATATGATCCAGTTTGAAAAAGATGGCACCATCCAAACAAAAGTTCGACACCGGACACCAATGGTATGTTCCAGTTCTGTTAGCAGGTGCAGCAATATCCAGGGGCTTGTATGTACTGCGTAAGGTGTATAAAGGTCACCAAAGCATCAGAAGCGATGGAAAATACTGTTGTTATCCTACAAAAATGTAGTTTACCCTGTCCATAGTCTTTTGCTTCTCTGGTGCTTCCTAAGAGGTAGAGATGACTTGATTGGTTAGGAATATAAAATACACAAACTTGAACTCAACAGTTTAATGTGTATTTTCCCTTAAATGGGAAAATGCACAAACTTTAGACTGCTTGTACATCAAAAATTTTAACTTGGGCTTCTATTAGATATCGTGCTTTTAACTATTAGAATGTGCTGCTTTGCTACGGTTCTGGTTCTCTGGAAATAATTCATAAGTTTTATCAATTGTAGGTTAGCGTTCCAAAAATCAAACGAAAGCCAGCCAGTCAGAAGAAAGGAGAGTGTGGTTTCTCATCCCCGGAGCCTGATAACCAGGATTCCTCTGGGAGTGAAGGTAGGAAAAGATACATTTACATACAGAAATAAGAAGTGTGTTTGATGGTGAAACAGGGTTCTGTAGTCACACACAGTCTTATCTCGATGCCTGTATTGTGAAATAATGCATGCTTTAGGTCACGGTTTTATCCAACATGAAGCACACTCTGGAAAAACAAAAGGAGGAGAATGGCTCCTGGTTTTAATGGCACACATCAGTATGTAGCGTAGGTAGGTTTAAGTGCTGCACAAATTTAGTATTTGGGGAAAAAATGTTTGTAAACTCTTTTCCTTCTTGAAACCAGACGAATTGTTTTGATTGGTAGATCAGCATGTTACTGGCAGGCAGGTGGTTGTTGGTGATGCTTGCAGAAATTCAACGTACAGTGAGTGGTTCAAGATATTTTAAATGCCTAACTTGCTGCCCTTCTGTGCTGCAGGTGACTGACATACAGCTTCAGTTTTCAGCAGAGACTGAGTTAGAAAATGTTCTCCTTGGTTTTGCAGCTGGATTGGTTTGCTGTTAGGACTTAGTTCTGTTTTTGACTTGGCAGTCACTCCTGTGAATCAGATCTGGCTTTTGTGTCTTTCTAGCGCAACTCCTGAAGCATAATACAAGAATAAGGAAAAAAGGGGCCGACCTTGGTGAACTGCAGAGTGCCATTGAATCTATAAAGGAAACGCAAGAAGACATTAAGAGGTAGTACTAAATAACATGCTTTAAATTAGTTTACCAATTTCCTACCATTTTTTTCCTTGGAGGCTGGTATGTATCTTTCTGCTTTAGAGCTTTGATGTCTTTAAACTACCCTTTTTCCCAAATGTTGATTGCCCAATGCTGTTTCATAATCTTCCTCAAAAACTGCCTTCTGTAGGAAGGCCTGACATATTAGGAAATGCCAAATTGTCTACATTGAAATTTACAGGATGTTATTTTCTATCTTACAGAGACATTATGGCCCTGCGAAACAGAGTCACTTCTAATCCACCACCTGTGGACTACCACTTCTTGCAGTTTAAGCACTATGTCTTCATTTTACTCATGGTTCTGCTGCAGCTTATCATTAATTTCTTGTTCAAATAGGAAGTGCGAATAAGGGCCTTTCTGAGCTGGAATGATCGAACTCTTACTGGGGACCGTATTATAGGCTGGACTGTAAACGATGCAATATTATCTAAAAGAGCCCTGTAGCAACAACTTACAGAACTTTGCCTCAGCATCCGTGGTTCAGAATCATACTCCCCTCTACCCAGTTGAAGTAAGAATTGTGTAAGTGCCAGTACACTCTTGCTCCTGGTGTGTGCCTCTGTCTCGCAGACATCAGCCTTGTGTTTTATATTACGTCATATGCTGTATGATGAATCTTCACCGCAGAATAGACGGACTTAAAAATTCAGAGGTCAGACCTTGTAGGTAGGACGCGATTCCTGTTACGATAGAATGACAAACAAGCATACTTCGTTACGTTTAAACTTAGCATTTTTGTAACAAAGGAACTTTTGAAGTAGCCAACAGTTTTTGTAAACGGCGTTGGGTGTTTGGAAGTAAGCTTTTGTTTAAGGTCAAACAAGTACATTATTATACAAAGACCGTGCGTGTTAGGAGCTGGCAAGTGAAAGGCTGAAGTCTTTGGGAATTCTGCAATATAATGTCCTTGATTTGTTTTGGAAGTATGACGGTTTTTATCCTGAATTACTATAGTGGCTTGTAAGCCAGCTGTTTTATTTTTATAGTTTTAAATCTTTGGATTCTTCATAAATAACATTCCTGCATCTACTGTACAGAGCACATTTTTAACAGTACAGCACCCAGGAAGGTACTGTCTTGGTCCACTCTCTGTTGTGAATTGCAAATATCAATGATTTATGGCATGTTTGTAAGTCTGGATAAACCTACAGCTCTGAATTCACATTTGTGTATGGCCGCGTAAGCAGACAGACTGCTGATGCCAGGCCTCTCAATTTTGAAACAGAATGGGAAGATGCAAAGGTGTGCTTAGTTTGTAGCTTGAGTTGAAGCTCCCAGAGGGCAGGCGATGTAGGACAGAATTCCAGCACCGTCATGAGTTCACATGCACGTGAAAACGTGTGTGTTTACAAAGGGAAAGTCTTCAGAAATCGTGGGATGGCTAACACCACACCTACCAAAAGAAAGGAGCGTGAAACACGAAGTCTTTGTTAAACTCCTCCTTACTGCAGTGTATACTACCTAACAGAACACACGGATGCACCTCTTCCTTATGCTGTAGCCATACAAATTAATGTGAAGCTTAAGTTTCAACTTAAAACCAGGGTTTCTAACATTTTTATTTGAAGAAATATATGCATGTATAGAACTTGTAAAATTCTAGCAAAACAGTTCTAGTGCCAGCGTTCACCTGGTGAATTCTTTACGCCAGCCAAGTGTACCAAGTCAGAAAGGGGCTGCGGAACTCCAAAGGTACAGTGAGCCAAGTGGGGCAACAGGAGGATGAGCGGCACCTTGCAAAGGGCAGCCAAGTTCGTTCTCAGAGGATCCTCTCGGAAATGAAGTCCATCCTGGGCGGTTCAAAGGCCGCTTTCGGCTTTTTGGCCATGGTGTGGTTCTCCCTCTGCCTTGAGCAGCCTCCCTCGCTCTCCAGGTGGTCTGCCTTTCTGCTCTGTGTCAGTCTAGCTCCTGTATTCCTGCAGCTGCCATCTTTGCACGCTGCCCTTCTTTTACCTTTCCCCTTCTTCGGGCCTCTGCTACAGGAAGCAGCTCACTGAATGTGAAGTTCGCTGCTTAGGCAGTCAACTTCAGCTTGTTCCTTACCGCTTCCTTTGCACAGTTAGGTCTGGAATCATTTTCTGCAATGCGGTACCTTAACCAGAGTGATCTTGTACATGTGGGCAAGGCCAAACTTGATTGGATGAGGTTATGTCTACAGCTGATGAGGTAAAATTTGTGAATGTAGAAAGTTCTTCACTGTTTAAAAAAAAAAAAAATTAAAAACAAATCCCTAAGCTAAGTCTCAAACAAGAACTGAAGTTGTTAGCCCTGTATAAAGTGGCATAAAGAAAGCAGAATATAATAGTGTTAATTTAATGTTCTCAGCCTGGAATTTGGCTGTTTATTATCGCATTCAGATGTCAAAGCTTCACCCGTCTTAAGATCCATTACAAGCCTTTAAGCATACTCTGTACCTGGGAGTAATACAAGAGGAAATGAGTGAGAATGTGGGCAATAACTTCCATCCCCTAAAATAATACTCTGCTAAATCTGTGGTGCTGAAACTCTTGAGTGATAGTTACAAGCTTTTATTTCCCCTGTAATAGGAATGTCCTTCTGCCCTTTCATGTTGACTTTTTTGTTTTTAATCACTTCTATTCCAGATGAGTCAGTAACACAGTCTGCGTGTATTTTTACACGGAGTGCGTGGTGTGGATTTGACCCAGCCAGCTGGCTGGCAGTGCGATGTTGGACAATGTCGGACTAAACAAATATTCCGTGTCGGAGTATCTAAACAGATATTCCACATCTGATACTCCGTGTCATGCTCAGCTCAAGAGAAGTGAAAGACTTGAACAGAGCAAGAAAAAAGCCTGTGCTTATTTTCCTTTTCAGCTTGTGTTTTTAGAGTTGAATTCTGTTGTAAAAGTGATTTTAGTGATGGTCCAGGAAGGTAAAGGATATATGATGAAACTTGCTGTAAAGTAAAAGTGCAGACTTCTGCTTGACTCTATGATTAGACAACTTAAATTCTGCAAAGTACATGGAAAACCCACTAATTCCTGTTTTGCTGGGTTTTGTATGATGCTCCACCATACGAATAGAACAAAGCATTGCCTTGCCTGAGTTTTACAGTACAGCTGGTCACAGGCACATATGGAGTTTTTCGTTCAGTGTATCACCCCTGTCCTGTTTAACCACGACACGTAGCTCATCTTGAGTATTATGTACTTGAGACTGAGCTCTGCACAGTTATAAAAACACATCGTAGCCTGCAGATGTGAGGGCTGTGGCCTCCTACTCGTTTTTAAGTTTTAAAACAGCACTTGTTTTCACATTTTATTTACAAATCTTGTTTTGTCTGCGTGTGTGTGGGTTTTGGGTTTTTTTTCCTTGTACAGGAAGAATTTCAGATTTTGTTACTATGTGGTTTTGTTGTTGGTTTGGTGGATTTTTTTGTTTTGGGTTTGTTTTTCTTCAAATGCACTCTAAGCCTTTAATTTGCCCTTTAGGTACAGATTACCTAAGGTAAGAACAAGTAAATATGCCATGTGAAACATAGCAAGCGTCAGTTTCAGCACGTTTCTTGCATTTCACGTTATCCCTTTTGAATAGCTGATGTTACTTAGCGAGGGTGTAGCCTAGGGGTTTCCTCACACCCCAGTTAAATCTCATAAATCATTTGCAAGGTGGTCCCAGAAGATGTAGTGATGGTGGTTTCTTCCCTTTTTTTGTTTGTTGTTCGCTGCCCTCCTGTGCCTTGGGGATTTCTTTTTTTTTTCCTTTTGCTAGACTGTTGTTTATGAAACAGACTTTGGATTCAATGTTTGGTATAGTTTCGTAAAGGCTACTACTTCTCCATTGTTTGTGTAAATAAACTAACGAGGATTCTGTACATCTGTAAGTTTTACTTACTGTTATTTCAAGGGTATCCTCAAATCCCAGAAAACTTAGCAGATGCTCAAGTATTGTAAACAGTGCCTTCTCGATGGGTTTCTTGCTGTTCTGAGACATGTAAAGACGTGTCAGGTTTGTGCCATACGTAACATCTGACCTTTTGTGAGGGCTTTGTGCTTGAAAACTAACTTTCCTGCTTAGTCAGCCTCTGGGGAAAAAATAATAAACC